ATACGTGTTCAATTCCAATTAAAAAGACATGAAATTTCAATTTTATCGCTATAAAAAATAATAATATAATAAATTGGAATAAAAATTCAAGATTGATAGTTTAAAATTGCTAAAAAAAAATTGCTACAAAATTGAATTTTTTTCTAAAACTAAAAATCTGGATTAAATTGAAATAAAATCACGATTAAATTGAAATTTTCCTCCAATTTTTGGTGCATCTATAAAGTTCAATTTCATCTAAAGAAAATTTAAACAAAATTGGAATGTCTCCTACTAGGGCAAACATAAAAAATACATATTTCTTTTTCTAAGTACCAGTAGACACCCTGGCGTAGCAGCGCATCGTTGCCACGTTGAAAATCGTTGAGTTTCATATCTTTCGAACGAGAAAAGATATTGAGATGCTGTTTGCGCTAAAATTCTTTAAAAATTGCGTTCTTTCTAAATATGCAATCAATTTAATCGTTCACGCAATTTAAAATTGCAATGATGCCTTTTTTCACACTTTCTTAAGGGCCAATTTTTTTTTCAACCCTAGTACATAGTCAAATGCCGGATTCTCGATTTGAACAAAAACCTGTTCATTTTATTTATCGTACTTTTCCGTAAATTTTTTTATATTATACCTCCCCGGGAAACGATTGGCTCGCAAGATATGAGCCAACTAACGGTTTCAGGAATTTTCGTCCAATTTTTTTCGTCCTAGAGAATTTTAGTCCAATAAATTTTGCCCGGTATCACTTAGTCCAGTAAGTTTGGTCCGATATTTTTTGGTCCAATCCATAAAATGGCCCTGCGTTTTAGGTCCAATCGGTTTTTTTTCTGTCCTTTGTACATACTTTTTTATGGGCGTTGTCCTGCCTTTAGTTCACAAGCTGTGTTCCCATAAAACCGAGGACACTTACAACGTTCTGTACCAACAGCTTAAAATGTATGCAGATTCTATTAAGTCCACCTTCATTTCCAACATGCTCTTACGTTACTCCCTTACGGTACTCCCTTTTCTAACATTTACCTACGTTATGAATTGGACAAAAATAAAATATAATCATTGGACAGATAAGTATGAGTCAAAGTAATAAAGAGGACTTAAGAAGGTAGGACAAATTTTCTTTTGGACCAAACTAACTACTGGACATAAATGTCAAATGGACCAAAAAAAATTGGACACAAAAACATTGGACAAAGATTCTTATAACCCAACTAACAACGTTATGTTAACGTTTTGCGCGCCGGCTGGAATCCGGGCGCCCGAAGTCGTCTGCACACCCCCTCCCTTGCCACTGACAAGCTTTACAATGTCATTCTTATGTATTTTTTTTGCGTACTATCCATTTATGACCTTTAAAAACGTCTCAAATGAATTTTTAGGGGCCGTACGGTCCATTGTTGCCATTTTTTATCCATTTTTAGGGTTTTATCAATTTTACTGAAGTAATTTTAAATTAAACTGATTCTTTTTTGGAAGGAACGTATAAAAATGAAAAAAAGTTTATATGTAGGTAACTTTCTCCTAAGTTGCCAAATTTTCGAGAAAATCTATGCAAAGAGCCAAAAACGGCAGAAATTGTATATATCTCCTCGCCTAAGGTTCAAGAAAGTGTGGCACAACCTTCACATTGACGTACGTGATACCTCTTACACATCCATACAACAGATAAAAAAGCATAGTTGCACCTGGATTCCAACGATGTGAAAATTGACCGAGGTGTCCGATTTTGCAGCTTTATATTTATAAATAAATATATATATTTAAGGCCCCTCTTTGAATTTTATTCGACCTTCAGTCACACTCCTGCGTCACATGTATTTTCTTCCGTAGGTACGTTTCATTTTTGGGCATGAAAATGGCTTCCGATTAACTTCAAGTGGTCCGAGGGACCATTGTTACCATTTTTGGCTAATTTCACGGAGTTTTCAATTTTACACGTGTTAAACTTAATTTAACCTAAAAACCGGGTACATTTTTGGAGATAACGTAAAAACTACATCTATAGACGCTATTAGTGCCACGTCACAGTCGGTATCGATTGTATCGAACTGGATCCAAACAATCAAACATAACCTCATCTTGACACCTCCCTCCCAGAATTTCACTGTCAAAAGCCAAGAAATTGGAGTGGCATAGGAGTGGCCTAAATCATGGTGGCCCTCGTGGGTATTTTCACCTTTCTGAAACTGCTTTATCCCGTCAACTTAACAATGCGGGAACGTTCCGCGATTAAAAGAGCTGTCTCTAACACAACTTTTTTCTCAAACTGAGCGAATTATCTCTGAAATTCTTTAGTTTCATATTGAATAGTAAGGTTATGTTTGATTGTTTGGATCCAGTTCGATACAATCGATACCGACTGTGACGTGGCACTAATAGAGTCTATAGTGTTCTTTGTAACTGTTGGGATTGTCGGTGGCTCACCAGCCATCGATGACAACAACCCTCATTCGCGAGCCGGTCATCATGGCGGCATGAACGTTGCATTGCGTGTCCTCTTTTGTCTTTTTATATATCTGATGGTTGTGTGTCACTTTCGATGAATAAAAGTGTTTCAAAGTGAAAATGGCTTTCTAGTCTTCCTTTCAAGCCCACCTCTTTCCCACCTACAAACAGTAACGCCTCATTGCGGTGCCAAATTTTCCAGAAAAATCCTCTTGAAGTGTCAAAAATTAGATTAATTATCACGGAAGTGCAACGTGTCATATTTTTCCATGATAGATATGTTATTTGTAGTAAAAAAAAGCTTAAAATTCAAGATTTTCCTCATGAGAGTCATCATTCACATCCTAAAACCCTCGACCTGAAAATTAATCCAAATGTTGGCACTTCGAAACGATTTCCTCGAAAATTTGGCAACGCAGGAAAAAGTTACACCCATGCGTTTATTCATTTCCTTACGTTCCTTCCATAAAATTACCCAGTTTTTAGTTTAAATTGAGTTTTACTTAAGTAAAATTGAAAAACCCCGCGCCTAAAAATGGGTCAAAAATGGCAAAAATGGACCGCGCGGCCCTTAAGAATTCATTGGAGACCTTTTTAAAGGAGATAGCTCTTATCTATGGTACCAATCGTTTCCCTGAGAGGTATAATGTATCAAAATGTACGAAAAAGTACGATAAATAAAATGAACAGGTTTTTTTCGAATTGAGATAATCCGGCATTTGACGATATACTAGGATTGAAAAAAAAATTGGCCCTTAAGAAAGTGTGAAAAGTGGCATCATTGCAATCTTAAATTGCCTAAACGATCACATTTACGATCAATTTTAAAGAATTGTAGCGCAAACTGCATCTCAATAGGTATCTTTTTTTGCTCGAAAGATGGAACTCAACGATTTTCAACTTGGCAACGCTGCTACGAGGTAATAAATTCATTTCAGGCCTTGAAACTTTAGGAAAAGGCGTGTTTTTCTTACAGTCTTAAATGAGAAAAAATATATAATTACGTAGTCATTGTAAATAAATACCAAACAAATCTCGGTAGATGTCAAAGACTGACTGAAAACTTATTTTAATCTCTTATGAGGAAAAATACATTTTATCGGCTGATACTGGCATTGTGGTCATATGAACATTCTCCCGAGAGGGCGAAAGTGATTACAATCATATATGACAATTATAATTTATCGATATATTTGTAGATAGGTATCCTTTTATATGCTCATCATGCAATTGTTGCTATATGCATACAATGTCACTGTCTCACGGGCGTCCCCTGCAGTTGAACAGTCCATTGTTTCAGAACTGATTTCCANGGGGGGGGGGGGGGGGGGATAATTTGGGCTACGTTCAATAGAATAACGCATCAAGTCGCATGTGGATGAACTCGAGAAAAGGGAAAAGTGAAGAGTTAGTTGTGCTGAAAACTACTCCTTACTGAATTTTTTGGAAAATGCGACTTGGTGCGTTTTTGTAAACCCAGTCCACTTACTGGAGAAATTTTAATTTATTATGTTATTTTTAGATTATTATTAAAAAAAATTTAAGAACAAATCTGATTACGACCGTTGAGAGTTAATAATATTTCTTCGCGACGCAGCACCTGCCTTCTCACGTTGTATCTACAGTTAATATTAATAGAAATTCGGCAATCAAGTATTGACCAATGCCACAATCGCAGCCGGAAGAATGAGGAAAAATTGAGTAAAAAACACAGGTCGTGAATCACCCTTCCAGCGCTGTTCCACTGGGCCGCAGCCGTTCCTCAACTTTCTGAATGAGGAGCCCTACGCGAGGGTTAGCATTGTTCCATTGTTTATTCGAGTCACTCAGGTAGAATCCCACACCTAGACGTTTCTAGCAGAAACGACATATCTCTCACGCTATTAACATGGGACATAAGTCCCATGTGCTTTAAAAGCTCTACAACATTAAAAGTTCGGGGTTTTATAATGCTTTGGACATCTACAGCTACTACGGATGACATACATGTAAGGATCACCGGTTCGGTAGTTCGTCTAAAATAGTGCTTCCAAGATTTTGCTTGTACCTATAGCTGGTGTAATATAGGAAAAGGTCATATTTTGAGCCGAAAAATCGATCCTGAAAGTTAAGCACGTTAACTTCCGGACACCCTGTATAGGAAAGGATCAAAGGCATGGAAAGCCCCAAGAAGTCGTGCTTAAAATGTAGGAATAAATTAATGCTTGAAGTGTCCAAAATACTTTCACGAATACAGGTTTCACAAAATGTTGGCAAATCATTTGGGAGAACTACATCAATAATCATGCTCGTTTCATTTCCTCCGTTTGCAAACATAGACAAAAGACTGGTCTCTCGGCGACAGATGGAAAGTTTTACTTTCGGGGATTTAACATTTCCTTATGGACAGTTATACCGGAGCAGCAGCTTTGCCGTGTTAGCGAAAAGATCAGTAAGTGTCAAAGTTCCGAAATCGAGTTTCCTTCATAATTCGTTTAATCTCTTTTAGATGAAATTACTAAAATAGCTAAAACAGCAAAATGCATCTTGACTGTGTAATAACGACATATGAGAAAGCCGCAAGTGCGCAGAAATTCCGCGTTTATCTTATAATTCACTGTAATATCCAAAATCTGCTCTAACTTCTCAAAAAGTTTGAAATACCTAATGTAGAAGTATTCAATACATAACAACAATTAATTTTATACTTTTCTTTTCTTTTCACGAAATAAAAAAAAATAAACCTCTAGGTGCAAAACTTTGAAAGAAACAAAGCGGAAAGTACTAAATGTTTTTGGTACCAGAAGGAGGGGAGGGGTAGGAGTGGGTAAGGTTGCCCCCTCCCTCTCAATTTCAAGTACTTATACTTTTAGGGGTAATACTATTTCTTCAATGTAACTTTCTCAAAATCTCAAAAAAGATACCTATAAGAAAGTGTTTATAATGAGAGGCTCCTAGATCTTAGGGGACTGGAGAGAGGAGGGGGAGATCTAGAGGGGGAGGGGGGAAATTTATGGGTGGAAAGAGAATTTAGGACCTTGCTCATAGAAGACGAAGTATGAAAATCATAAAATTCTTCAAGAAAAAGTGTAAAAAAGCATCGCAACTATCAAATAACCATACATTCCCAATACGGGCCTCCAATACGGAAGGCCTGGGGGGCTAGGCATTCGTATGGGTAAAAACGGCCAGTCATCTAAGGGTTAAAACAAATGACAACTAGGTTTTCTTTTTCTGCTTTGATAAAAAATGTACTATGCATTATGATTGAAGAGGAAAGTCATGCTACTGACTGGCTTAAAATTTGAGGTACCTAATACCACTGCTCCAGGAAAAATTTCAAGAATTGGGCCGAGATACGACACTTGATTTCAAACTAAAGTGTCCTGTTACACAGAACAGGTAATTATTTGCTAGAAAATAATTTTTGTCTTCAAGATTTCATATTTGAAATTTGAATCAGGTATTTTCCTCCCTCTTTAATGACTTCCACAACCTTTTCTCGTGAAAGGATGATTAGGTACCATCAATTTCCACAACTGACATTAAGTATATTCAAAAGTAGATAAACAGTCTAAAAAATTGGAACTATAGGGGAGACCGGGGCTATGTTGACCAGATTTTTTTAAAACTTGTGTCTGAAGAAACAGAAGAATAGAATGTCATTTCTTTAATGCTCTAATCCTTAAGCATACAGTGTAAAATTAAAATCAACTGAAAACATTCTACAAAATACTTTAATTTTGTGAGTTGCATGCGTTTTTAAAAGAAAATCCATTTTGGTCAACATAGCCCCCGCTTGGGGCTATATTGGCCACCCCCGGGGCTAAGTTAGCCACCTGTAAGGAAGCTGTGTTAACCTTGTTCAGTTGATTGTAATTGCACTTAAAAAGCTTAGTATTATGCCCCTACACTTATCTTTCGTAATGTTTGTGAAACTCAATACCTTTGGAGCTGAAAATTTAAAAATAAAAAAAAAAATTTTAAAGAACAGTATCAAATTTAATAAGTGAGTTGGCGTGAAAAGCAACTTAAAAAATAATGAGAAGATCTACTTCCCCACTATATAGGACCTTTTTAAACTCAAAGAAAATGGATTTGAAACCTTACGCAAAAAAAAATATAAAATGTATGTTTTCTTAGTAGGTCAACATAGCCCCAGAAACATGGTCCGCATAGCCCCGATTGAGGTCACCTCAAATCAAAGTCATCCAACTAAGAAACAAGGAGTCAAAAGCCATAAATCCATACACTAAAATCACAGGAAAGGGGTCTACTTCAAATAGAAACAAAGATTAATAAGATACAAAATAAATACTCGCCACAGCAAACAAAATCCAAAATTAAAAAAATCGCATTTTCGGGCTATTTTCGAAGGTAAACAAGAATGTTACAGCACAGAACATAACAGAGGGGGACACCATCGATGTTGATATTTTGAATTGTTAGTCTACATCGCTGCCAACCTTTTTTCTCATCAAAACATCAAATTTACGTTTTCCTCTACAAAATTCTCACGATGGTTATCATAGCCCCGTGGCCAACATAACCCCGGTCTCCCCTAAAGATGACCCATTTAAAAATCAGGAAAAATTGTGAATGCTCGGTTCTTAAAACCTAAAAAAGAAAGAAATTTGGCAACAACCACTGGAATAAAGCAGACCGAATAAGATTATAAACAACCTCCTCGAGACAATTGTTTTTACTTCAAAGAATCCGCAGAATTGATTGTTCCTGGTGATATCTCAGCATGAAGTTGTGGACCTTTGAGAGATGGGTGCTGCCCTTGCCTTAACGCTAGCAGATAGCCTGCCCATGTGAGTCCAATTGTGCCAACAAAGGTGAAGATGCTCATGACATAAATTTGTGTGTAGAGTCCAATGTAATTGCTAATATAAAATCCAATTGCCACACAGATATTCTGAAATGAAAAGCATCATGGATAAGGTGCTGTTCCATTGGCATTTTAGTATTTACTAGCCGTTCTGGACGCGCCTCGCGCGTCCGTCACGCCTGACCAAGGGGCTGCGCCCTCTGGACCTCCGGTCACTCGCTACGCGAGTGAAATTCGGCTCGCTTCGCAAGCCATTTTTCTGATTAGTTGGACATTAGATCACTATGATGTATACATTTTGGAGGCTCTCAAGACAAAAATTATTTTGTCACAGAACCTTGTTACCGGAGCGTGCCATCACTTGCACATTAATAAATATGTGGAGATGAGGCAATGACGGGGATCGATCATTTCTTCAAAAATGCATTTGACTGAGACGTTAGGCTGGACCTACACTGCACGCGTAAAGTTGACGGCCGTCATCGGATGTCCGATTGACGGCGGTTAACGGCGGTGGGAGCTGCCTACTGTGGACCCCGGTTTCGGACGGCGTCATAAGCTCGGAGCGCGCGGGTTAAAATCTTTTGGGGTTTCGCGCAAGTTTTTGTTTTTTATAGATCAGTGCATAGTGCAGTAGCTTGCGGAGCGGTGATTTAAATTAAGACCGCACTGGCATAAGAGTAATTACCTACCTTCTGTTTTTAAGGCAGCTCCTATATCGTTCCAAGCCGGCGTTTTGAGATCTCGGTTGTGATAATCTTCACACCTCTGGTCCCATAAATTTCTCTACTCACGGACCGACTCGATTAAAATGTCTTTATTACATTCCATCCTGATAATTAGAGGAGGTACATGCAAAAAAATGGTGACTCTATGAGGCGGGAGCCGTATCTGTCGTCCGTTTTCGGATGAAAAACAAATCAATTTTTTTCGGGCGCGTCGATCGGGCGACAATCGGCGGTCGACGGCGCCGATCAGCTGATGCGTCCTGGAGGAGATATAGGTAGTTTCGGGTGCGCGCGGGAATTTGTTCGCGCTCCGATGACGGACGGGCCCGTACGGTGTCGTCCGGAGCTCATCGGATGCAAATTCCGCGTGCAGTGTAAGTCCCATCGAGTGGAGGAAAGTGACGACCGTGGATGCCCCTCCGCGATTTGACTTGCTGAAGTAGCAAAAGTTTATCTTTCCTTCAAGGAAGATTATCGGTGGCGTAGGGATCTAAAAACTGCTCAACGATAGTACAGGGTGTTTCAGACCACCCGTACCAGGCCTTTTTCTCGGTTGGTTTAGGTCGTACGAAGTGGGGGACCGCGGGGTTGAATAGGGAATTGACCCCAAGGAATCCGAATTTCGTGGTACCCCCTCCCCCACCCCCCCTTGGGGGGTAAAGGGGGGTCACGATGCTAAAAGTCACGGTTCCCGACCGAATTGCGGATAAATCGCATCAGAATTGGAAAGCACGGAAAATTTCACGTGAAATTGACCCCTAAAAATCCAAAATCGGACCATCCAAGGCCCAAAAATGACCCCCTAAAGAGAGGACCAGTACCCCCCTCCATAATTTCTCTTTGGTCTCAAAATTGACGTAAATTCTCCAGAAAAAGACGGTTTCCCAGGTAATCGACCTCGAGAAATCCAAATTTCATGGTCCCGAAGCTCCTCTAGCGCCCCTTGGGGGGTAAACGGGAGGGCCCAATTTTAAAAATC